AGGATAGTCCTAATCATGCTCTCACATGCCATATAGTGGAAAAAGGCTTACATAACGATCACAGTCATTGACTCAATTTAAGGTCACTGATCAGAGGTAGATGATGAAGAATGTGTGTGGTAGAACGTTTACTGTTTTAACTAGTTAATTATTTCTCACAATGTTAAAATGGCAATATTTAATCTTCAGTTTTGCGACACATTTTTCCGGTCATTAGTATTGAGGTCATATGAAAACGAACCCAACGTCATAAACAATTGCTGACTAAGAATAGTTGAGGTTAAAATGAATCCACTCGCCTGGGCTTGCGTTGAAGGAAGGGTGGGGATTGTATTGGTGTGGTGCTGGTGCTGGTGTCGGTGGTTGTTGGAGGGTGTGAAATTCTTCGTAGAAGAAAGTACCATTTGAGCGAAGGCAATGTGTCAAGACACGCTCATAAACTNCAGGTGGTTATTTTGCATTTTGGTTCAAGTTAAACATAAGTATTTTGCAATCTAAGGATCACAATTCATTTCATCTGGGGCATCTGGGGCGATCAGATGAAAGTTAAATTTGTTGTGAAAAACTACGATGATTGATTAAAAGAATGTACACGAGTTCAAAAGTAATGAAAATGCAAGCATCAACAGTTGAAATATACCATTTTAGGTAAAAATGAAACTTGACTTGATAGCGACTTATGTTAACATTTGTGGATGACGATCTCTTTATGACGCTTTATGCATTCCGTATACGCTAACTTCCTAAAATCCTTACAAGCGCCTAAATCTTCAGTTATCGCAAGGTCCACTTGCTAGCGTTCAGCAACTTGTGCAGTGATTCCTAGAACGCATTTCTGCCACTCCCTTTTATGTCAAAATAATGCCGTGATACTGTGGTGTTGTCATGTTGCATAGTGATATGCTAGGGGATGAGCGACCGAAATCATATGAGGTAGGATGAATAAAACAATGGACAGTGTGTTCGTTGAATAGGTTCCTGGGTAGACTGAGTATCCCGGGATTTAAGCAAGTGGCCCAAACAACTGAATCGAAATACTGTTCAGGGATAATTGGAAAATTGGATTCACTAAGTAGAGGTCGGTCTGCTAGACATTGTCGACTAGGTTAATTACTGCCGCTAGGCTAGAACTAAGAGACACCCCTCCCCAAGTTTTCGTCTGTAAAGCATTGAATTAAAATTCGTAATGATATCAGCTGGTACGGTATCAGTTATGGTCCTATTCCCTCTGACTATGACATGTTTGTGGTGATAGTTGATCTGAACAAGACTTGATGAGAATCCATTGCCATTTCCACCAACTGAATATGCTTTTGGTTATGTTGATGATTTCAAACCGATAGCTTTGTATGTCGGATGATACAAAATGCATCCTCTGTTCCAGTCGTGCCATCATCGAGCTCTCACATTTTGTCATTTATCACTCGTGATCGAACAGAGTGTGCTTGATTGATTATCTACATGCAACAGAAGTTATGTGCTACTGTTATTGTTTTGTGTTGTGTCCATGTTGAGTTTCTGTTAAAGATGTCAAATACAATCTCACAACGACTTGAACTGGCTTCTAGTGTTCACAAATTAAGAATTATGCATGGCTTCATTAGAAGGTAACAGAAATAATTCCCTCGATTATTTGGCCTGAACGTGTTTATTTAAGTGGTAATATTTGTCGAACAGCTATTGCTATTTCTAACCATTGTTAACCAGGACAAGATACAGAGTCTTTGGAAACCCTCGCGAATAATATTTTTCAATGTTAGGGATAAGTCNGTCAGCATCACACTTAATCCCAAGAAAGGTTTAAAATTGTATCCTATAAAATGTGCTTTTACCGCCCTCAGAGCACTTGAGGTAGTTTACGACGGTTTCCCACAGAGGATCATAAGCAGTCGCAATCAAGTTGCCTGATATAGCAAACGGTCCGCTGTTGATGCTGTACCTTCCTAGATGCATTGTATTCTGTAATCGCTTGATGATAAGTGNTACAGCAATATGTTTAGAGGTGATGCTAGAGATCAGCATCTTTCTCTTTCCACAAACCATGAAGTCCGTTCAACTACCGTTGTCCACTGGATTAATGTTATTCATTTGGGAAACAGTTTACTCAGCTATAGCAAAGTCTCTTCAACTTTGACTAACCAAGTTAGCTTTCTTCTGGGTTCCATTTTGTTTATCTTTTTTCTTTGTAGATGCCTACGTTTTGGCTCCATGCCTCCGCAGTGATTTTAATGGTTCATTACAAAAGAGATATATATTTGACATCTGGATCAGAGATATACTAATGTTTCGAATTCCAGAATAAACTCATAACAAGATTGTAACACAAATCCAAAGGTGAAAGACTATTTTTGAATGATTCATAATACTGCCAGTACAAAGCATATAAGGGTTTGTTGTTGGTAGAGACATATTTCCAGGCTGAGTGGAAAGATCGTTCGGGATAGTGAGAGGTGAGCAGTTGGTCCTGTAAGTCCGTGTTTCGTGAAATTGATTGCGATTGGAGTTTTAGTGTTAGTGTTATTGTTGATCAGCTTGGTCGCAAGTTGAATAACAAATAATATATGGACCCTGCCTTTCTCGTTAACCTAATCCTGCAAAAAAGCTGTTTGTGATCAACATATATTAGTCCAAAATTAACCCTATTGCCATCGTTCCGTTTTATCTTAATCGTGCTTTCCTCGAGGTTCATTGGCATCTCTCAGACTTCGCAATGTTCATAATGATTGGTGCATTCATTTACGTGGCCTAGTAAGGGGTAAAACATCTCGCTCTCTCACAACATCCACAACTCCTACCTCTTCACTCAATCTGCAACCGCAAATGTTGTTACGATCTAAAAAAGTCAAGCATCCGTTGATGATTTCAAGTGATTTCTGTGCCGTTCATTTGAGTAGTGAAAACTTATTCCTGGATAATTAGACCACAGATGGAAACGCCTGCCTGTTGATTAAGCTTAGACCAGCGCCACTTCCCACAACCTACTACTGGGGTGAGATTATTTTTGGGCCAACAACCCTGATCAATGTTTGAGCCGTTCTCACCGTTCGCATAGTCTGGTGTGTCTTAGAAATCATACAGTGAGTCTGTTGCCTCAACTTCTCTGCAAAGATAAGTTAACTCTCACTACTCTCGGCTTCGTGTATAGAAGTGTCTCGGCACAAGAGTTATCTCCATTTTTGAAGCTGTATATGCCTGAAGCATAGGAAAAAAGTGCTGCTGTGCACTTTATTGTGATAAAAATAATGCCGATCTTCCCGTTTTTGTGAGGGGCCAATCGGTCTCCATGAAGGCTTGTCAAAACCAATGAAATAAACGACACCGTTCTTTAAGTTGGTAATTGTAAGTATACAGACTGAGTGCGATTGAACCAAGATTTGCAAATTGGCGTGCGTACGTATTATTTGATTCTGTCTTTGAACAGTGTGTAATGTTACTCCTGTTCCTGGCATACACACTTAGTAACTAACTATTTAGTTCTAGTGTTCATTATCGATAACCCTTCTTCAGTGTGCACTGCCAGGGCCATTTCCAAGCTACGACAGTTTTGTTGTATCGTGAAGGATGTTGTAATGGCATTAGTAAACGTACAGTTTGCTACTCACTGCCGCTTTGGAATGATGCATCGGCTTCAAGCGCTTTTAATTATCGGTTAATGCAATAATAAATTCATACTTTGAAAAGTGGTGCTTGTATGAAAGTGCGGTATTAGCAATATTCGCTAGCTGTTCGCTTGATCAGACTAATTTTTGTATATTTCGACCTTGTTAGTTATTAATTTCCTGAAACATATTGAATATAGTTTCTTAATTTAAAGCTCCAGGATTGCTATCGGTAATGTCAATTGGCTTGTAACTTTGTATACGGCTTTCAGAAGCTAATCGTTGAATTGCTGTCCTGTAGTTACATTTCTGCCAAATTCCAAAGAACATAAAACGTGTATATATGCATTGTATCCGTTAGACTCTGATTGGTAACAGAAGGATCAAAAGCTACTGCAAGACTCGGAACATCTGAGGATCAAAACGGAGATTATTGCAAACATGCTGCCACAATGTATTCAATTTACGTTTTTAATCCAACTCATTTTATTTTCCTCTTGGTGAAGTTTCTCAACTGACTTAGCAGTCCCTCCCTTTAAGTGTTTCTATTTCTTCTTACGGCAATCTTGTATTGTCTTTACAGTAAATGTTGCCGAAAAGAATGTTCATTTATCCATGAAGGCAGAATTCGTTTCTGTTTCGTTGTTTATTCTATCATTTGTTTTCTTTGAAACGCCACATTTGAACAAACGATAAAACGTATACTTTCCGTTTGAGGATTCTGAAATTTGCAAAGCACCACGATATAATCCTCGAGTAGAGAAAAATAAAAACTATTTGTTTTAATTATAAACGGGTTATTTCGCCGTTTGAAATAGTTCAAATGAAATGAAAATGTACCCTCAGAGAGAACTCAGTGTGCGTAATTCACAATAATAATACAGAATACAATCAGTGAAATACTTGATTCATGGCATGAATCCCAAAGAATAATTTGAAGGTTATGTGAAACACGGTGTTAGTCTTCAAACACTAGCTGGACGGATATATTTAGTCTGAATCAAAACTGTAAGTCTTAAATAGCTAAGCGTCACTATTTCTTGGGTCTTCCTGTTCGAATGGTTTTGTTCTTCAATATCTTCATGAAGAATAAGAGTTTATTGATAGGTCACGCAAACGTGAAATAATTCTATAAGGAAAACCTGGAGGAATATTGTGCTCATCCTTTTTTATTCCTACCAAGCATACCTGCTTGCTTCTACTCAATATGGGAAGTAAGATTTTGCTCGAACCTCAGTTTCCTCATGCATTCTGATCGTGCTACTTCGATTTGTCACTATTTTTGTTCATTGCTGCAATAAAATCATTTCATTTTACGCCAAATTTGTAGAACTTTCTCAGACACACAGAACAGCATTGTGGAAACTTTAATCTACTCCATCTTTTCACCCCTTAAAACAGAAAGAATACTTAATGCTTGTGGAGCAATGCATGAATTTTGCCTGTGAAATGATGGATCTGTGCCGTGGGACGCAAGAGGTCGAGGCAGTCATCTCGGACTTTCTAGAGGATGGGACCAATATCCGAGATCCCCTGGGTCGGTTACGGCTTGCAATCCGTTTCGAGGAGAAAAAGGTGATTGTTGTGCTTCGAAGTCACAATTGTTTGATTTTGTGTTTCATTTATTCTAAACATTGAATGTCAATCATAAATTATGCAAACCCCGGAATTATATAGGTGAACAAAATTTTTAAATCATTTTTAAATATTTATCCATGGACTAGAGGCTGACAAATAGCTGACATTGTATAAACCAGAAGAAAACGTGATGACGATATAATAATATTAAAAAACATAACACAACTGTGAAACGGCGGATTACTTACTGTTATCCGGCACATATATCATTTCTCCGGATGTTCAAATAAATGGCTTGGTAGCCCAGAAAGCGACAAATTCCGGATTTGGAGTTTCATACTCTGCAAGCATTTAATGCTATCATAACCACTGATACCTACTCAGTTCCAACACATTTGTACACTTTCTTTATCAGATTGAATTATTCAACATCGCTGTTTATATATCCTGTGAGATATCCACACATAGAGCTCGATAAGGTAATTGAATAGCACGATACCATGTCTGGTGAGGGTAAGCATTCTGATGCTCACGTTATTTTATTTCGATAACATGCTATGTAAACCCATGTGTGTTGGCAAACAACCATTTTCACTGATGCGTTAAACTAGTTTAATGTCGGTCATTTCTTCTACCGGTCCAGGTCAATCTGAGGGATTGAAATGAGCTAACAACTGGCACGAACCTTTGCCAACTGGCCGTTATTAGATTTTCTTCCTGACGCAGGATGCGAAAATAGTTTAATCCGGCTTCAAACATTGATACTTACGATTATGATCCGTCAAACGAGGGAATAAAATACTTAGTAAACTGAAATTGTGATCAGATGCCAATATTACACTGAATATTGTATTAATTTACTTAATATATAAAATATATCGAGTCATAAAAGCAGTGTTTAACAAGTGTCATAAAAAATAACCAAATTTCGCATCCTATCTAAACACCATTTGAATAGTTTGCAGTTGATGAGAAACTAGATCACTGGACAAAATGGATGTGAGGAAATCTCACTAATCACTGCAGTTGTAAAGTACATCACCGATCACCGAATCAATTCGGTTTAAATGACATCCTTGTTGGAATACTTCTCCCAAACCATAATTAAGTGTTGTTGAAAATAAAACGACCGGAAAACTGTTCTTAGTTGCCAATTGCTGAATAAAAGATTTTAGTGGGCCAAAAGCAGCGTACAACTTTTCAGCTAAAAACTCGTCTCGAGAAAAATAACACTGGATGTCTAACCAAAGCATTAAAATATTAGATGAACAAACGAATCAAGTTACCGAAGTCTGTCTTGACCGACAAGAAAACCATAAATTGGAACTTCAGAATCGCTTGTTACTTCAGTTCACTGGTTACCATGTTAGGTATTTTGTTCTCAAACGTTTCTTCGCATTCCGAGGTGACATATTTGGTGCTAGATATACCTCCGTGTCGTGCTTCGTTTTGTTCAAATATCTACCTTCTTCCTCGACCCATTCGCCCAATAACCCAATTCTTCTCATGTTAGTTTTCTGATGAACTTTCACGAAGAATTGGCCAGCATTTTATCTCAAATCCGTTTCCCTGCCACCACGTGACTATTTTTTTAATTGCCTCACGTTATCCTTGAATTCAGTCAATTTACACTTAGAGAACCAATTGCTAACTACTCTGTAAATGCTGAGTACTGAAATTTAAAAACAGGCTTTGATTGGCGTATGACATTATGTTGCCATGGTAAAAGTACGAGGTGACAGAGAAAACTTTATCACGCCTCATGTTTTGTATAGCTCATTCCATTGAAGCAACNNNNTAACAACTACGAATTATTGAATAAGATAACACATCAATCAACTTCTATGAGTGCGATTGTATGGTTTGAGTCATTTGGCGAAAGAATGAGGCGCTCTATGTCATTAACAAATTCTCTGTATAAACCAACTTATGAATGATTGTTACCCTGTTCCGTCAGTTGAATTCATTTTTGAACCAAATAGCCGATAGCAAACAAATATTGAATTCTACTTAGCCTGATATTCCGGAAGAGGAGCTTTAGTAAGTGTATGGAATGATCGTGAATACCTCCACTTTCTAATGGGGAACGATCAAAATTTCTTATACACACAGTCGAAAATGATCAAAGTTGTAATGATTCGGAAGAAAATCAGCTCAAAGTAGGGTGAGTAGTATCTTGGGCAGTCTAACTTGATTTCTATCATGATTGCGTTCAGTCAACGTACGCGTTCTGTGGTAAGTGAAAAGTACGTCTCCCCTCTTTCTTGAGGTAAGCTGCTACTGAGACCAAGGACGGGACAGATAGGTAGAGCGCACGCATGAATGGATGTGAAATACTCGACTGAGTATACTCGTCTCGACATTCACCGAAGCATTATTTCATTCCCGACGTCTCTGTCATTCACAAACCGTTATTAAGGCCACTTGAGGTAGTTGTTCTACGGATTAATCCGTGCTCCCCTCAGGTTGATTGAATTATACCATGCAATTTTCCGTGAGTACCAATTATCGTTTAATAAGAACAAAACGTGGTCCTAATAAGCCGCATAGGAATTGCAGTAAATGAGTAGATATTGATAAAGTGGTGTAAAATCTTCAAATGAAAGGGTTACTGATACGCGATAAATCATTACTTCTTTTGTTCATTCTTATAAGATCTTCTTGATCTTGAAGCTTGGCTATAAGCTTTCTCTTTCTTAACCGATCAGCACTGCAATGATTTCTCTAGTAATTCAATTGACAACACAACCCAGCAATGTATGGATGATGTATCAGCTTAAACAGCGAACAATGACGCATAGAAAGGAAGATGCTATTCTAACACATGACTTCCAGGCCGGTTAGAAATCGAGTGCATCCTTATTCGTTTTACCAGTGAAATTGGTCGATTCGTTTCACGATCAGAGTATGCACATTTTGGTTGGTTTAGTTGCGCTCATGAACAATGTTGATCAATCAGAATTTGAACTATAGCGGTTCCTGAGCATTATCCAGATACTTTTTGTCAACGGAGAACTGAAAAATTATCAAAATGCCATATTCAATCAAGTAGACACTACTTGCCACAGAAAACATTAATTTCGGAAACGTGAATACATCGAGTGCTGTCGGTGGGATATATCAAAGCAAAACAACTCTTGTTGCAGGGGGCATCTATTTCAATGTTGCTGATAACTCTCGGTGTTTCAGATGCAACCGGTCTAAATTATCGGCAGCTTTAAATGAGGGTTTGAGGGCACTCTTAAAATAACTTGGCTCCGGTTTCTGGATAACAGTGATTCTGGTGCATTGGTTTTCATCAAACTTGCGCTACACCGTGACCTTCGTCAAACCACTTACTTTGTATACCCAGCCTTCTGGGGCTTAGTCATGTGAATGAATATGCCCTAACCCCATAAAGAACACGTGTCTGTCATAGCATGCACTTGTGTTCTTTCCTCTGTTATTCGAATCCATTATCAAAGTAAAATTATCGAATTCAATTTAACCACTGTCCCGTCAGTTGTAAAATAACAAAACCTCAGAAGAAAAACTCACTACACTTCATATATAACAAGGATTTACCGCAAGTACATAGCTATTTTAAGTTCATTTTGTTAACTCCTTGTGCGCTCTCCAATATTTTTTAAGCACTCGAGTTAGTCATTTTATTCATGAGGTTCAAGAATTTGCAATCTAATGGAATTTTACAGTGTCTTCTACTCCATGCGTTACGCTGGCCATTGAAGATCACTGTTCAAGATAGATACCATACAAATGTGAAAAATTATATATATAATGCAACCTAAAACATATCTGTGACCGACCGCGCATGAGATCTAAACTTATTCTCAGAGAAGTATGTTTTTGTTGAACGCTATTCAAAAGTAACAGTCTTCAAAAATTCGCCCCATCAGTGCAAAAAAACTAACGCTATAGAGTGTCACATACGGGGTCCAACGAAATGGCGCTCGGTACTTACTTCCTAACCAACTCATGATACGGTGTGTAACTTTAAGCTATAGAAACAATAAAATATCGTATCTTATGAAGTCACGATTCACTGAATGAATTCGTGAAACTGCTCAGCGAAATTGTTTTGATGAAAATATTTTGATTTGGAAAAACCAAAGGAAACAACGCTTTGTAATATACAATCTTTATCCCCGTGTTTAAAGTACTGTCTTTATGGTAGATACTGGCTGATGACGAATTCCAATGGTGGTATGTCATGTTATCATACCGCTTTTTCTAAACATCTCACAGTATTTATTTGACCAGAGCCACACTTCAGAAAATTGATTGAACTTTTATTAAAAATTGATTAAATTGGCGGTAGATTCAGAAATAGACATCCGGTTTAAAATTAACTGAAAATAGTTCGTCTCACCTCATACTCACCTGCGGCGGTTAGAACCATACCAACGAACTAAGGAAGTTTGGCTGAGAAAATGACAAGGTAGAAAGGGTTTTTTTACTAATACGAATACCAATAATACACTGCAAAAATTATGAAAAAAATGTTTATAAAATATTTAGCTACATTTTTATTTGGATAAGTTGTGACTATATTTTTTCTTTGCATAAGTGAATTTGGCACTCACCCGTCGGAATTTATGAAATGGCAGAAAACTTGACCAAGTTTGCCGCTGACAACAATAGATTTCACCAACTCGGCGGTATTATACACATTAATGATAGTCGGAGCCGTGATATGATGAGAAACTCCAGTTGAAAAACTAGCACCTTTTACTGATTGTGTTCTACACCCATCCAGTAGCAAATATTTTCATTGTTGCGAAATTCTTCAATTGTCAACTGCATCAACAAATTTTATCACTACGTTTCTTGTCCAACGCCTCACCCTCTGTTTCAGTTTGTCGCTCATCCAAACTGTCAGCAATACCTCACAAGTATTTGGTACGGTTCCGAAACAGCCTTTCTACAATCCTGGTCGCTCATACGCAAAATTGGCCTTTCTCTAGCAGCAACACCCTTGCTTCCACTGCTCTGCATCATGTACATACTCTTCCCTACATCCAATGTGAGTTTCCGGTTCCTCATACCACACATACACACGCATACTACCTTGCTCATTTTCTACGGATGTAGCTTCATGCGCGATACTCATGATCGATGCAAAGTTCGTTTTTCTCACGTATTATATGGTTGTTTAATTTGAAAAAAGACAGTTGTGTTCTGTGACAGATTACACTAAACTGGTCTTCATTAGTGGTTCTACTGATGCGAGTTTCTCATCGGATTCGATAGTTATGTGCACGGGTATTTATATTTGAGTCTTCTTTGTCTAAAACAATAAGATCGAAACAGATCCACTGGCAATATAGAGAAATAAATAAAGAAAAACAATACACAAAACGAAACGTTTGGTCGAAAGGCCCAAAGTTTACTATCGAATAAATATAATTCCGCCCCTATTAAATTTTTTACTGCAAATTCCCAATCACCGTTTTGTCAGTTCATGCAAACTGACAGCGTGTGTATCCAGGTATTGACGAACCTCGTGCAACGCCCCCCCCCCAGACACTTTCATCACATTTGTTCCTCCCAACGCATAGTGTTCCGAGCCTCATTCGAGGGATTGAGTAGTATATTGTCCCACATCAGACGCAATATATTTACACTAACATCCACAAATTTCGTTGCTTCTATTAGTCCAATGTCATTCAAATTTTCGATTTCTAGATTTCGACTGCCGTTTCTGGTACATTATTTGTAAAATAACAATACTTTAGTACAGTAAAAACCAATGAAATTTATTTATGAAGGGACTCAGGCAGGTACTATACTACAACTTTTGTTTTGTTATACTTCCCCTTCTTTCGTTTTCGAGCACTAAAACTAGTTGCTTTGCATGGAGTCCACCCAGATGACTATCAAGGAGCTTTTACCTTTTTGCTCTATCACATGCCTTACCCTGGCCACTGACAATCACTGTCGGGGTGGCTAACTTATCCTTATTTCTAACGCTGGGGACATTTTCCGATTACACTGAAATCCAAAGTGCTGGGTGGTAATGAAGGAATTCCCTATTGGACGTGACCCATCCGGAAGTTGCATAAATGTAAAAACCAATATGTAATAAGGTCGTAATCTTTCTACCACAGACCTCAAATGAGATGCGATATTAAGTTTTATCCTGGCAAAGTAAAACGTTTGTGAATGCATTTCGAGAACAAGACATATCACGCTATCCAGAGTGGCACGTGCGGGAGACCAACAGCAAGGCGATCAGTATTTGCTTTCTATGCAACTCATAAGACTGGATGGATATTCACCTATTTTGGCAGTTTAAACGAACGTTTTGGAAAACTATTTCAATAGATCAGTTTTCTCTGCCTGCGATATTGCTCATTAACCACCAGTGAGATAAACCCAAATCCAAATGGGTGTTTAATAACAAATTCACATCAAGTGACCTCAGCTTCAATCCCAATCGAGCCATAATTTTCCGAACAACAGCATGAGGAAATTGCGGCTAATCAGCCAGCGCTATCCTCCATACCAGTTGTTTATAATCTGTGCTAGCGCTGATTAACTTACCTTGATGTGATCGGTTTCTTGTTGGATTTGGTTTATGTCTTGCTGTAGAAATTCCGGTGATTGTTCAGTAAATTGGGTTTAAGTTCACATCAAAGCACTTGCACAATTCAGGGACCGAGTTATCGGATTTACGCGTCTCTTGAATAAGTTACCTCTCGGCTTCAACTAAACGGCAAAATCTCTTGGATGTTTTTTCCAGTGTGAACATGGTGACACTAAAATCGCATATTCATAAAAACGCACACTTCATGTTTAACTTTTGGAAGTCATTTCTTATGCTTCTTAGAATACATTTTAAGTCCCTTTCGGATCAGGGCTTTTGTATATGGTTTACAGCTATATAATCTAAAATTTATTTAACCTGGAAATTCTCATTGATTGGATTATTTACTTTGCACCGAATGTAAAAGGATGGGGAATTTAGAATAAGTGCATTTATTATGATAAACACTCACATTAAACAGCAAACATTTGCTAAAAATAAAGAAATTCCATAGTACTTTACGTGAACTATTAGTTAATTCTGAATTGTAACTTTCGGACTATTACAAATTTTACCGCGACACTCAAGGTCATACAAATTCAAAAGTTGGTATGCGAGAACTAATAATTTCGGAGTGAGAGATGAAATTCAGACTAAACACCATTCACCAATGGCTATCAATATGCATATGTAATACTGAAAACTAAAAATCACTTCCAAAATGAGAACCATATTGCATGCGTTTGATCAATAACTGTATATATTAAATTCGACTTGAGTTTGTCTTTTACTCTTCTTAGAAATACTCATATGAACAAAGTTTATCTTGATAAATTCCTAGTAACTATTCCATAAAATCTGCACGACGCAGCATGATTTCACCAAGTTCATGAAAGCAGATTTGCATCTGAATTGTTTGTCATCGTAGTGGAAGTTTTTTCTGTGTTGTCATTTGGTGGACGCACACTGACATTAGACCCTGTATCAGACACAGACCGAAATTGGTCAACCGTTTGATGCACTTTATCGCTCAGATTGACATGCACTTGAGGAACAGACAGATAGACAGACAGATAGTACACTTCATCTCATTTTTATAATAAATTACTGCTCATTGTATAACAGTGCTACTCCTTTCAAGTTTTTCAGCGAACTGCAACCGATCATTTTCCCTGATTTACGCCACTTCATGCCTACAACTGATAAACCGCTTTTTCTTCCTACTTGACTGAGATCTCTCATGGATTTCGGTACCATGATTTGGTTTTTATCCTCGAGGAATAGACAATGACTGATCAAAATGCACAGTATTCTCTTTTCCCACTTCTGATTTGCTTTCAGATTAGCATAGGCGTCTAAATTTCCACGTGGTGAACGTCCAACAGTGTACACTTCTGTTCATTACAACAACAAGCGATCACCTGTGTCATTTGCCACCATTTTTAGTTATTCTACCAAGTCCAACAATCAATCGCGAGTCACAATAAGCTAGTAATACCTTCACTTTGCCCTTAGACTCAAAAGATTCATGCAAAAATTCTAGGGACCAAATTCCAACAGTTCGCTAAAAATATAAACCTGGAAGAACGGGGCTAAATTACTTACCTCATGCGTGACACTGGTGTTAGCTAATAACACTTCCATCAGTTTACAGTTCACGTGCACTCATCGGGTGCATTATGAAATTTGACAAACTGGTTACTGACTGTACACTCCCGCCCGCCCTTTGGTGGTCGAAAAATGTTTTGATATCAAGGTCAAACCTCTCATATTATCAATCACGCATCGGCGATTGAAAAACCATTTGTACATCAACCTTCTCAGTATGTTGGTTATGGAGTGCTCTGTTGTCCAAAATCGAACTTTCATTTTATTAAATGCAGATTTCAATGTGTTTGAATGCCGGTGTGTCCATCTACCCAGTTATCAGTACAATTTTCTAATTGCTTGAAATTTTTTAAGATTTTCGTGCAATCCACCAGGGTGAATTTCAGGAATCTTGTTTATATTTGAACACCGTTTGCATCTCTGCAAAGCACACTCACCCAGCTAAGCTACTAAAGTACACAAATTACTCTCTGATCTATTCTTAAATGGATGAAATAAGTGGCTTGATTAGTGCTAGCTGACTTAACCTGTATTGAGTTAATTTTATTAAAACACCTGCGGTGAGGATTGAAATAAGCCTTTTGTGAGTAAGTAATTTCATGAAGGACTTTTCGTTTCGAAACTACACAGGATATCTACGAGGAGGTAAAACTGACGAGAGGATTTCAACGTCATTCACGCCTGAAACATTTGTTCATGCGTACGGAGGGAAGCTACATTATCTATTGGTTTTCAGCGTGTTACTTCAGTGCACATTTTCCTTCAGATAATGTTTTTTGATGTCCTGTTTAGATTAATCAGATTATTGTTCCAGCCATCGCAGTTCAAAGTGTCTCTCTGTCGGAATGAATGAATATGTTGAACTTTGCTTCCTCTGCACAACTCCACCCAACACAGTTGGCCCGTTCCATGCGCTGTCCGGCTGCCAAGTTCGCCACCCACGTTGTTTCGCACTTTCTATTCCTCATCCTCTTGGCTGCTGCCACCTTTCGATTGGAAGAGAATTATGATTCTTTACTGGATGAACAAATGCTCGGCTCAGGTAACGAGGAGACCATACGGCAATGGGTGCAGAAAAATTTTCGGCCATCTAAGGCGATTATCACACATGTGCAAATATGCATCGTGCTATGGGTTGCTGGTACGTCCAACTCAAAATCTTTTTTCAATAGTGACAACCTACTTGGTTTATTTCCATATGCTTAAGCCTATACTTTAGTGTCAACCCATCGACTTAAATGATAATCATACCAGGAAATTCATGAGTAGAATGTAGGCATACTTGGGCAACTGATAACTAATCAGACTTTTACTTTGTTTACATACAAGCAAGCACAAACAATCATGGCAAAATGGTTGCAATCAACGAGAATCATTCATCTTCACAAAATAGCAATTATGTAATATGTTTGCAGTTGGTATAATTGGTCAGCATATATATCAAGAGGACAAAACCTGCAGTTCCCTTCCCATCTCGGATACAAAAATGATAAGTATTAGTATCAGCAACCTGCAAAACGCTTCTCACTAGTTTGCAGAGAGTGCACATATTATGCAACTATATTTGAGCCCAAACGGTGTGGCAAACAAAACAGCAAACATAATCTTTATAACAAAGAAGATAATTCAATGCTTCTTGGTTGGTTTGGAATCATGTTTGCTTGCCATCTATCGTAGGTCAACTACTGGTGGCTTACCAAACCGGTTATATCCATGATGTTTACTTTCACTCCGCTCAATTCGGTGGAGAAACACCCGCCACGTAAACGTGGTGAGTAGAGCTTTCTCAGTAAAAGTCATTCGAGATGCTTGGTTGTATGGGAGCTTTCTGTAGGTTGAAGGGTGACCATTTAACTCAAGACACGCACCATCGACCATACGGAAAGCTTTCGGAGTGTGCATTTACGTGTCAGAGTGGAAGAGATATTCAGGAAAAAGAATTGGGATTAGTTCTCAACACTTGCGTGGCACCCTATTTGAATACCTTCTTAAGTAGTAGCTTCATATCAACTCATTTGTCGAATGTTTGCATTTCCCCCCGCTTGTTGTGGCTCAGGTAAACACCATTTAAGAAATGACAGTTGATGTATTCTGATCATGGAAAAAGCAACTCGGGTGTTTACATGATTTTGTACGCACTTTTCAATGCTCCTCTTTTGCGTACGCTTTTTCGTACCCATCTCCTTGCAGTGATGAAAAACAAACGAGGCTCCTATATTAATCCAAATAATCCAAATAATGAAATAGCCAACCTCCATATATTGATATTCTTGGGGGGTATTCCTTAATTGGCATTGTCACGTTTAAATACGCTCGGTTGTATGATCGGTTTGTAGCCTGGCAGATGCGACGTGGATTAAAATAAGGAGCACGGGAGTGGTTGATAAACTGAACGATGAAAGTGTAATGAGTGAGGAAAGGTAGGCGGCACAATCAGTCAATCCGAGTCATACACGGCTGGACAGAATTTGATAATTTGAGCGAGAATAAACACGGGTCAACGGGGGAGAGGAATCAAGGGTGGCAAACGGGGGGTGCAGAAGGTAATTCTGTGAAAAGATGCATTCGGATTGGCTACTCGGGATCAAGTCTGATTCATGCAAGTTTGTTCATCTGACAGATAAACATGGGTCCTTGAGAATACTTCTTTTCAATTTCTATGTAAGACAGCTCAAAGGGTAAAGCATGGGCTGTACAAAAGCTTAGGCGTTCATGCGTGGATTCGAATCCCACTGAGGTTACTGAAATTTTCGCAATCTTGACATACAAACCCCAATGTGCCAAACAACAATTTGAATAGATTTGATTTGGCTGATTGGCTGATCTAACTTCTTTGTGTGGTATATTGCCTTAGATTACCATCCAGAGCAGCCGTATGTAACTTTGGATTATCGATACAAATATTAGATTGTAACTTAATTGAATCCTAATTAACCGAAGTCTATTTCGTCTATTCCCCTATCCTTGCTTGAACAAATTAAATATGTGACAATCACACATGGAATATTTAGTATTTTCTTATCGTCGATCTGTCGTGAATAATACCGATAATAATAAATTCTTGATAATAATGGATATACGCTAATTCAGTGGTGTGCAGACTAATGTTTGGCTACAATAATCACTGCCTCAAACAAGAACTATAACAATACGCGGGTCACATCTAAAATCGACTGGCGGACGACGTACACTGACCATTCAAATGTTCGGGTCTTCTGTGAGATAAAGATAGCCTACTAAATTGAAGACATATATGTTGAGTGTATATTCGTCAGTTACGCTAATCATCAGAGGATGTGAACTAAATTCTAGGACACCGGAAGAGATACATCCATTCCAAACCAGAAAAGTTATCTCGTGACATGCGTTATATGAAAACAGAAAATTCAGTTGATCTTGCGCATAATGTTCGAATGATTAGCACGCTTTGTCGCGAGGTAACAAGACACTAGCTACGTTTAAGATAGAAATGAGTAGTTTCAAATTATTGGGTGAAAGCACTGGTTATACTGTGTTGAGATATTGTGAAGCGCAAAAACGTGTTAACTAATTTATCGGTAATTTGTTTGTAATTTGTTTCAGGAGTAGAAATCACTCTATGTCATGATTTGAAATATCATTACAAAGACCTGAATTTATTTGTAAAGTGGAGCAACAACCCTCTTCCCTACATACACACCTACCTATTACAATTTGCCACAATGTTACCAGTTAATTATTTTTGTTTCCCTTTTCCCTTTCCGATTGTATCAAAAGCTAGGCGTGATACATGGTCTCTAGTGTATCTTACGCAACCTCACCCACCCTCTTGCCTTAACTCATAACTTCCATCAACATTTAAAGCAACCCAGCTCTCTGCTGTCATGTCATTTGAGCTTTGTTTCATTATCCTCTACGAGACTTACCATTGACTACCGCTTCATTTGCCCTTCTTATTCACCTATGTTATGGTTATGAACGGAGGTACAATCAACCAACCAGACATCCGTACTATGATCACCTTATATATGCCACCACCTGATGCAGTACATGGAAAAGAAATTTTTCGTAAACATCATTTTCTATAATGCCTATGGGAAAATTTTGGGCATTTCTATACGCTCTCTTTGGAATGGGTACCGAATAAAGGGTAGGTGAATGTCTAACGGGCAATCTCTGAACCATTTTAGTTACGCATTTCAAACGAACTGGCTACAACAAGAAAAAAACTGGACTCGTTCCGCAGGAATGATTTTCCTAACGGAAAACTGGATGGCCATCAAACTTTAATGGGATCTTCCAGTGTTTATTTACCGTCAACTAGTGGTAATTAAAAAAACGGTCTTCGGTGATACGCGGTGACTTCAAATACGATCAAGCTATTTATGCATAGATCCTGTGAACTTGTTAGAGATGATGTTTCTGTTAAATGGCGTTCTAGTAGGAAGCCCCATGAAAAGCATTAGCTGGATGATGAAAGCTTACGGTTCTGTTCTGGGTTGTTTTCAACAGCCATTTGAGACCTAATGTTTGACAATGTGCAACAAAGTTGGTTTACATTTATCAAAATTAAAGTTTTCATTATTATTGCTCGGTTACGAGCGCAGTGACTGATTCCCTCTAAATCCAAATCTTAGTACCCAAATAATTTTAGATGCAATAATGGAAACTAAGCAACTCCTGTAGGCAAAACTTAAATCCAGCATGAAAAACAAATTTCTTCTTTTCACAAAGCCAGCAATCTTAAAAATCAATCGCACAAGTGATTTGGAAGTTGCATGTATTCTCAATGAAAAGGTGCCGGAACATCATCTCTCATTGCGAACTGCACCTGGACAAAAGCAGTTTCGCGCCAAAGTTACATGCAAACTCGGCGAACATTTTTCATTGAAAACCACCCGTGTTCGTTTACTAAACGAAGCGTGCTAATAGAATTGTGGCTACTTGATACACCCGACGTGCAGAGCAGAAGCGATGTTGGAAAGAAAAAAAAATTATAATTATTTATTCAAAACAATACAAATAGATTACTTAAAATAGGAATCGGTGCAAATTTTACCCCTTTTAGACAGACCATATTTCTAACTTTTGCTGCACCTATAAATTCATATTGTTTTCAATGTAATTTCTAAATCCCAAAATGCTTCTCTTTTTTTTCAGGAGCAAAATGAAGGTTCTGTTAGCTCAACCATATATATATATATAAATATAACTATATATATATAATCAGTGAACGTGTTCTATGCTGTTTTCCACATATTATCGAAATGTAGGTCAGTTCCAACAGCAGAAGCTAATAAAACTGGTGGCATAAAAAGCGGACGAACAAAAAATTCAAAATCAGATAAGACTCAGAAGGGATGACTGCTTCGTTGGCGTAAAACGAGGAAAGTAAATGCACGATACACGGATAAAAAAATGATCATTTTAATCACCTTCCGAATAGCTGCTGCACCTGAAATTCTTCTGTTCGGACTTCGAGTGGATGATCGATGGATGTGCGTTACAGATCACGTGAGAAAAATCCCACTACAGCATTTTTCTTCATTGTGCAATCACAGTTTTGTACATGACTAATGTGTTACACAACCTATTCATCACCAAGTTACGCAGTGATTTTTCATCCGTTTAACTTTGGTTTCTCTTTCTTTTATCTCCTCTTCGTCCCGCTCTCCTTTTTTCAAACTACTAGGTCTTATCCTGGCCGATGTGAAACACATATATTTTGCCGGATTCAGGTCTTACATTTCAAATTCGTACAATATTTTGAATTTCTGCATCCTATCCATGTATATCGGCTCGTACACTTTGCGGATAATCGTGGACCGATGGGTTCGTGAATCAGACGTGTTTTTCAACGCGACCGCCAAAATCAATCACTTGTTGGACAATAACAACAGTGTGCTCGTGCATCAAATGGTACAGAACTGGACGCAATCGGAACATTTTGACAAAAGTTACTTCATCACTGCTTGTAAGTTTAATCCGGTCCCGTGCGAACCGTTTGTCCCGGATCTGGAGAACTGGTAGAGTTTGCTCATTCCGATTACAACTCATGTTCGGTGTATCTAAGAAATAGAACAGGAATGATTTTAATCGGATTATGGTGTATGGGTTAATCGTGATTAAGTTTATTGAACGGGGTACACTAACATGTTTACTCAGATAGTTTTAGAGAAATTGAGATTAAAAAATGCAGTTCTAACATTCGACAGGACTGTTAATTGTGATTACTTTTCTATCGTACTAATAAGTGGTTACTACAACATAACGAGGAACATTTGATTGCTATAAACATAGGTATAACAGTCATCATAATAAGCGTTTAAGTCACTGTAACAAACGTACGCATCATTTTCATTTCGAAAATATTGCTCATTTATTCTAAAAGGTTTTCTGCAATGCACAGGGATAAGCCACTTGAAGCAACGACCGGGTATAAACAAAGACAAACATCGGAAGAAACTGTAAAGCGGTTGAAAAACATAAATAGTTTATCCACAATTTCAATAGAAAACAAACAGTAAATGAGTTTGACGATTATACATATATATATATATATAACCATATGGATAAGCACCTTGGAGAGTAGATAACTGAGCAGGATGGGAATCAGGTCTAAGCTAAATCATCAGACACGATACTTTCCCGTTGGGTCTTTTCTCGAGGTAAATCGTGGGAACCAATGTTTTAGCTATGGATAAACCAGATTGTATTGACGGAAATCCATGAGAATTGTGTTTGCTCATTGTTTGATTTGGTTAGGTCAAAACAGCCTCGATCAATTAGGATCCGAAATGTAGTGAACTCAGTGGAATGCATGTATTTATCTTGTATCCACTTGTCCGCGTTTTCAACCTGAATAATCAGTGCATGCATAGTTAGTGCTTATGAAGCCAAATGCGTTGATATGTGCATACGGGTATGGTAGAAAAATTGTTACCGGTACTTTTTCGTCCTCTATACAGACTTAGAGTTAAGATTATTTGCCTAGTCGATTTATAATGGCCATACAAATTGACGAACACAAACAAGCTAATGAAACATGTGTCGCTATTATCGGATTGGTAGAAAATATGGAGTTTATTGNTGTAACTTAAAAATAAATGGACACAGGTGATTCAGAATAACAGATGGCGTTGGATATAAGAACAAAACTAATGCGGAAGGGTACAAAACGCACCAACACTTAAATTAAACCGGAATTCACGAATGTTTGAAAAGCATCAATCCAATTTGTTTCAGGTGCAACAGCCATCATTTATTCATAAACCAATCAAATGAAAACATATTTCACTTGTTCAGTGGCGAGTTTCTTAATGAAAGCGGGGAACAAAGCCAGATTTATTATATTCTGGGGATTTAAAAAACAATGCAATAAAATGTTTCGGTTAAGGAAAATTAAAGAAATGAGATTTTGACTGATATATACATTTAATACCGTTTACCGCTTTAGCATCGTGTTTTCGAACTAGTCCTATTCAGGGGATTTGGACTCGCGCTAGTATTCTAGCTCAACTTGAACCCTAGGTGGGACTTTTCAGAGTACGCCTCAAGATAACTTCTATATGATTGGCTTGGCAGCATCACTTAAGATGACCGCGATTGAACAATCTGATTGTTTTTTTAAGACCATATTCGTTACCACGTTGGGGCGAAATGTAGCGGCAATAATAGATAACATTTCCTCTTAGAATATTTCTAGTGCAAATTGCTTATCTCCAAGTTTCTCCAATCCCTTTTATTACATCAAACTGCAAAATACAACTGACATTAATATTTATTGACCTGCTACAAAATAGCAGTTTTTAAAGTAAGTTTAGTTAAATACCTTTATGCAAGTTTCAAGCCATCCTCCATTTTAGTGGGAGCAGCATAATCGCTTTTGCCACTGAATCTCATTTGTAGAACGTAATCATACTGACAACTTGACCACCCGGAAGCCTATCATACTGTTTCACTTTTGGTTACTGGGATATAGAAAAATTCATGTTTTATAAGAATTTCACTGTGCACATGGTCTCCGGGGTTTTGACTCTCTTGTGAACAGTACGAATCTGATTATTCCTTCAAGGGAATAGAAAACAATTTAAGGAGGTTCATCGCTGGTGGATAGCTGGATGTTGGAGACCAATGTGAATTGTTGAGATTGCCAGAAGCAGTTGAGACAAACACCAATTTCAAAATTGTTATTGTAATGGTAGAGTGTAGCACATAAACATCAAGCTGGCATTGCTTTTACAACACCGCCTCAGGTGTGATTTAATTCCTTGACATCATTCCCACAAACCGATAAGAGTATTGACTTCTCACAACTGAAGATAAAGTAAAATTAAAATTGATCAGTTAATTTGCCTTATGGAAGCTAAAGTAAATGAGTTAAACAGAGGCTCTCATTAGTAAGGGAGATCTCCGCTAAAAGTGCATGCCAAAATGACAGATGACCGCATCCGTGGACTTAATTTTATAGACTTACATTGGGACACATTATGCGACCGCTCAAAGCTGCTCTTTTTTCTTCTTATGACAGAAGATCTTACGGTTTGATTGTGATTAACTATCAACATTTTTATAGTAACTGAAACTAGGTTCACAAGTGAAACTGCACATAGAAAAATAGCCAAATTAAAGGGTGCCCAATTGGATTTGAATTGAATTTCTTGATAACATTCATTATTGGGTTTCTCCGAGAAGTGCAACGGGACCTAGGACAGTTTCATTCACCAGCCAAAGAGAATAACTAAATACGGAAAGAAAAGGGCCTCCAACTCTAATTTGGAAAAATACAAAAAGTAATTCCTTAGGCGTGAACGTCGTAATAGGTAAACATATGCACTGGGTCCAAGAAGTGTTTTCAGAAACAATTCTCCTACTACTCTTAATCACTGGGAATTTGGGTAACGTATAACAAAGCAGACAATAATATTTGTGTGAATCGCTCCAGAAATGGATTAAAAATAACTCTAACTGTATAACCTATTAGTATGTTAGGCGTCATTAATCAACGTAAATAAATAAAAAGATTTCATTGAAATTGTCTGTCGAAAAAGCTGTATACGTCAATAGTATACGTTCGTCGTATTTTACAATTTTTGAGGAGTTCTAGCCATGCCAGATGTGGAAATGGATTCACTCAGTGCTTTCACAAAGTGAATCTGGCTGTGGTCTTCATTGCGGTTGGATAACCACTTACATGTAGCGTGATATGTGAGTTAATAAAATCACCATATGCTGCCCATGAATTCGTTCGCCATAATCTTATAAACCAAGCTATGCACCGAGATTAGCTCCACACTCGCAGGATCCGAATTAAATTACGTTTCTGTTCCTGAATTAAGAAACAATCCGTTCTTTCACATCACCAAATAATCGATAAAGCTTAAACTCATATATCTTCTTGTGTTTACGTTCAGACCTTCATGTTTTTCCTGGCGCCTAGGGCTGTTCCCATTCTGTCCACATATTTGTGGCGTGATTTTCCTTGGACTTGTTGTTATTGGAACATCACCTCCAGCTTTGGGGATAATTCTATTCATGTGCATGTATCCCATGTATATCCCAATGCGACTTTAATTTAACCGACGAATGGGGTAAGCAAACAGACATATGATGCCTGCAAATGGATTNTGATGTGGACTGGTTTTGTTCCAAATAGCAAGTGTACCTTTTTATTTCACACAGTTTTGTAAGTTCACTGCCACCAGCGTCCATCAACTCCTCCCAAATTTATATTTTTTCTTTCGGAATATGAATAACACCAAGCAAAATTAACGAAATATAATTGTAACAAAGATTGATGCAGTAAATAACTTATGATCGATGCAGAAGTTAAAACGTACTAAAATCATTTTGTTCATGCACGGTTTTCCACTTAGATTAATTGGGACTCTGGACTAAGGAGAAAAATAGCACTTTATCTACCCCTTATTCCACAATTTTACATTCAGATTTATTTTCATAGCAAGCCTCCATCAGTAGTACGACCGTGACCGTCAATCTTCCTGAATGACTCATTGAAACGTGCGATTTTTTCGTTCCTTTCGGAATAATTTCATCAAAAGTCATGTCCAAATTGTTCCTCTTAACTATTCTGTATAGTTACCATTGCCTAACGCGAATATTCACACTTTCGAGTTCAAACTAATTTTCTCTAATCTGTGAGACAAATGTTACACTTTGAAACGCAATTTGAAAAAATGGAAATCGGGAGTTGTAAGCGAATGTTACAAAACCGTTTTTCCGTCTGGATTTCAAAAATGCGTCACCGGATACTTCAATTCAACCGACCGATTTCACTAGATCTCTGTATTGATCAGGAAAATTGATTCAGTGCTATAGAAAGGTACATGCTGAAAGGAAGAGCTTGAACCGAATTTAATTACACAACACAATTTAATGCCAAATCAAATTCAAATATGCTATATAGTAAATAATGTATATAAATAACAGACAAGCTGAACACCAACATGTATTCGATGCACCAATTATGAAATCAAAACCATTTTAAAAAGGTGATTTACATAGATATTCCCCGTAATTTAGAGCGATCTTATCTAGAGAAAACATAAATAATTGAGGTTTGCTCACCAATTGTTACGAAATCAAAAATTCACGTCGAAATCCCCCCTATGATTCCTTGATTCAAAACCATATCTCAATTTCATGTGTGCAAGATTGAATTATGCCTTTCACACGTCGAATATCAGAATTTTAACTGCTAATTATCTCTCAGGGCAACCTTTTTACATTGATATCGTATTCCACTTCCCATTTGCAGTAAATTTCAGTTGAAAGGCCTTATCAAGTTTACAGTAAACTGGATGGTTTACTAGCTTTTCGGGCTATTTTCAAACAGGACATTACAGTCATTAACTGTTTTAAACGAATAAATTTTGAAAGTGAACAATTATTCCACTTAAAGCGACACACAATTTGAATACGCACACAGAGCATGGCATCAAAATTTCAGGTGTGCCATTAAATGGTTAGACCTCATACGAACAGTACAACTTCAACAGCTGGAAGTTCGT